CTAAGATTTTAATAAACGCTTTTGTTGCATATATCACGCTATCAGTAAATAATTATTGAAAATTGTTTAAAGTATTTTAAACGGTCATTAACTATATTTTAGTAAATTTAATTTAAAATAATAATTAAAAATATTTTAAACAATTTTTAATCAATATTTACATTTTTTAATCAATATTTACATAATACTTACATATATTAATATCGAATAATATTTGTAAAATTAAAAAAATAGTTTTACATCTCGTATTTGAATTAAAAAAAAAAATTTGATAAGCATTTAATAAACATATTTCATAAACTATTCGAATAAAAACATAAGCATTTAATAAACTTATTTTCTATTATTTTAAATTTAAAATTTCGATTTAAATATTAGTACATATGTTGATTTAACTTTTACTAAAGGTTATAATTTTTAAAGTGATTTTAAGGCGCCTTTTAAATTAAAGATAATTAAAGAGATAATTACAGTAAATAATTTCAAAAATATTTTATCATTTTGATTAAAAACCATATTATATTTTTTTAAACTTATATTTAAAAAAATATATATTTATTTAATTATTAAGAATAATTTAAAAAACTACATTTGGATAAATAAATTACATTTACTATGGGTTATTTTATACAGATCTAAATAAAATTTTTACTAAGTTATTGAAACCTTTTTTTTATTATTTTAAAAAGAATATTGAAAGGAAAAAAAAATTCTGAAAAAGTTTATACTTCATTTTTTTGTTTTCCTCATGTAAACCAAAATAGCAAGCTAAAGATTAAAAGTCAATTCATTTAAAAATTAAACTTGCGTGATAATTACAAGGACTGATATTTTTTACTTTAGTTCATTTATTATCAAAAGCTATTTACTCTTAATTGCCAAAAAGAAAAATTAACCTTACCCTGAATGAATATTTAAAAACGCTTAACTCTCAAAAAAACAAATCTTTTATACATTCTATTGTTATAAAATTTTGCAACGTGGTTTTAAAATTAATTTGAAATTTCTGAACAAATTTCATTTTTTTAAAATTATGTCCTGTTAATAACCGAAGGCAAATTACGTCACGTAGTTATGTATAAAAGCAATTTCTTTTTAATTCTATTTATTTTTCTGAAAAAAAAATGAGGTAACTAAATTAAACTGAAAATTATTTATATACTACTGCATTTAAAACTATTTTTTTTTTCTATTTTTTATAAAAAATCAAAATCAAAAACAATTTTTTGGGGCTTTTTTTCGGGCGCCCATACCAGTAAAACGGTACTAAAGCAAGTCTGGGTTCTTAACTGATATATATATATATATATATATATATATATAATATATATATATATATATATATATATATATATATATATATATATATATACATATATATATATATATATATATATATATATATATATATATATATATATATATATATATATATATATATATATATATATATATATATATATATATATATATATATATATATATATATATATATATATACATACACACATTAATATATATATACATATATATATACATATATATATATATATATATATATATATATATATATATATATATATATATATAATATGCATATATATATATATATGCATATATATGTGTGTGTGTATACATATATATATAAGAGAGAGAGAGAGAAGGGAGAGTGCAATCCTAAGTTTAAAAAAAAAAGTAAAAATATAACAGTAGTCTGTTTTTACTATTTTCCAGCAGACAGAAAAGCAAGATCCATGACAAACTTGAGCCCAAGTGTTTCAGTTAATAAAATAATTTCAGGTATAAAATTCAAGAGATGAATCAGAGGAAAAATTCAAACAATGAGGAAATGTTCTTTACAAATAATTCTGCGACATGAATGCTAAACTTAAATAATTAAATTTATTAATGACAGTATTAAAGAGTCAAGAATAACAAAATTAAATAACTGATGTAAAAGACAAAATTTTTGCATTGGTTTCTCACAATATTAAAAAGATGTAGAAAATGTATGGGAGTTATTGAAAAGAGAAACTTCTCTCTTTAATAGCTACCTAACATAATTCATACATAATACCATAATTAAAAAAGTTATTTTGCATTGGAACCATAATGCACATTTAAAAGAAATGGCTTTAAATTGCATTTATAGCCAAATCATCTTTGCGCAGTTATCAAAAAAAAGGGAGGATCAGCAAAATATATACAAATTCATGTTAATAAACACATTTTTATTTTTATTTTGTGTATCTTATGTAAGAAAATAGTTAAACTTTATTTATATAGAAAGTTTTTATCTGTAGTTTTATAAAAATATGCAAGTTTATTTCATTTTTTTAATTAAGTCAAGGGTGATAAAATTATTTATTTCAAACATAAACTGCATGATTTATTACTATGCTTAAATGGTTTGCCTGGTCTAGTGTTTTCCATAAAAAGATAGGGTTTAAACCTTTTTTTTCATTTTCCCATACAAATCTAGAAAATTTGGAGGAAATTAGCTATAATTTTACAAAAGAAGGAATTTTAATGTTTGTAAAAACAATCTTTAAATATTTTTTCCACAAGTCAGATATAGTAGAAATCTCATCTTATAATTTTATTATTTAATTTCATAAATTATTAGACTTTATAAAATAATAAATTTACATTTTTAATAGAAATACTATTTATAATTAATTAACAACTTTACAAAATCAAAAGAAGAAAGAATTATGAGAGATCACAACAATGCATTAAATAAAGAAATGAACTTTGAAATTAAAAAAAAAGCCCTATCATTGGAAAATGCTTTCAAAAATGTTTTTGAAAAATGCGTCATTTCACAAAATAACTTGGATAAAAATTATGTTCAACTAACCGAGGTTGAATGGAAAAAATGTTATGCTAACCACCAACACTCTTTTAAACACAAAAAATACTCAAAAGTGAATCTTTTTCTGTCATTTAAATGTTTTTCTTTTTTAAGACTTAGACATTCTTTGATTACATTTATTTTGCTGCTTAACTAGTAAAAATCAAGATAGATAAATATAAAAATAAATATATCCATAAATAAAAAATATATATATCCATAAAACAATGAAGACAGTGTAAACATGTCACTAAGTACCATTTTTGTATACAAATTATAACTTTTCATTTTAACAATGATCTTTATTAAATAAAGTATTAGATAGACAAAAGCTCAAAGAAGATAAAGATGACAATACGCAATCTTTTCATAGAATATACTAACACAACTTACATATACATACATACATAATAGGTTGGGATGAAATATATATTTTTTGAAAATTTCAATGCATGTATATATATATATGTATGCATGTTTGTATGTATATATATATACATACAAACATGCATACATACATATATATATATATATATATATATATATATATATATATATATATATATATATATATATATATATATATATATATATATATTTTATATATATATATATATATATATATATATATATATATATATATATATATATATATATATATATATATATATATATATGAAAATAATCATTTAAATTTTTTTATTAATACCTTCCAAAGTCCTGATTTAAAAGAAGGAATAATGTGGTTATGAATAAGGTCAGAAGGAGTAATATATTTCACACCCAAGTCACACATAAGCTTTTTAACTTGCTCTTGTTCAATATGATCCAGTGATTCCATTAAGTTGGAAGATAAAATATTTAAATCATTTTCTATCAAATCTAACATCCTTTTATCTAAAAAAATTTAAAACAGTTTTGTCTGTAATCATTTTTATTTAAAAAATTAGAAACAAAATATAACATATAGTAATAAAAAAAGTAATAAAATATTTTTACAAATAGTATATAAAAACTTTATAAAAATAAATAAATAATAAGAAATTAGATTACTATAAAATCTAAGCACAATTAAATTTTAAACAAAAACAAAAAAAGAGCAAAAAAAAACTCTTCTCTCAATATATTGATCTGTTTTATTAAATGAAAACATTTTCCCTATACAAAATTCAGAACAAGTAGTTTTGTCCTCAAAAGTCAGCCCTCGGAATTAGGAAAAATGATGTTTGCAATAAGTTGCCAACCTTAAACTGTTAGAAGTCAGCAACAGGTTGGCAAAAAGAAAATTGACACAAAGGTCTTAACATAAAACATAGAAACGAGATCAGCAATTTTTTGTCATCCTCAAACGGTTTTAGCTTGGCAGTTAGGTTGGCGAATCCAAATGCCAACCTTAATTCCAAGGGCTAAGAAGTTCATGAAATAGTCAAAAATAAATAAATATAAAATATATAAAAATAAGTCAAACAACTTAATTAAAAAAGTTTTAAATAAAATTAATTTTACTTAAAAAAAAAAATGTTCAAGAGTAGCACTAAAAATTGAAAATACAATAATTAAAAAACTAAAAAACTAAACAAATAAAATAACAACAAATCATAATAAAATAACATATAGAATAAAATTTGTACAGAGCATTTAATTTAGCTATTATGTTTCATTATGTTTTATAACAGAGTAATTAATGATAATATCAAAATTATTACCTTTCTTCTTCTTTCCATGTTTTGGTATGTCATAAACTGGAAAAAAAGCAACATTTTCTTTAAGAGACATCATACTTCCATTTGTCATAGGAAAAATATGTAAAGAACGTATAATATCAAATGTTTTTTGACTACAATCACAAGAATTTTGAAGGCTTCTATATACTAGGTGAAGCCATTTTCCGATCCATTGCTGTATTTTATCTGGATTCTTGAACAAAAACAAATATTATTTTTAAAATGGTAATTTTGTGAAAACTTTAAAAAAAATAATTATTTATTATTTATTAATTAATTATTTATATATTATTTTAAGTTATTATTTTACATTTATTTACTTTTCATTATTATAAATTTTAAATAATAATAATCAAAAAATAATTTTAAAAAGTATTGTAATGAAGATCTTTATTTCTATAATATGAAGTTATAAATCTGCAATATAAAGTATTATTTCTATAATATGAAGTTATAAATCTGCAATGTAAAGTATTATTTCTATAATATGAAGTTATAAATCTGCAATATAAAGTATTATTTCTATAATATGAAGTTATAAATCTGCATTTTGAAAGCAGTTTTCAAAGATTGTTGATCAAAATCTATTTGTAGAACATTTTTTCAAATAAACCAAATACTTTAATTAAATCTATTTCTGACATATATTAAAAACCCACATTCTCTGAAGCCTTTATCATCACAGCATATAAACCATAAGGACAGGCTTTCTTTTCTAAACTGAGCTCTTTGATTTCACTTTACTACAGGTTACGAGCTCAACTGGTTCAGTAACCCCTTACATCAACTTACATTCACACCAGCTATATATTTACTCTATATACCAACTATATTACCCATTTTATTCAGTAAAATAACTTATTTTTTAACTTTTCAAAATGAGCCACCCACCGTGTTTTTATCTTAACTTTATTTATAAGTATTTTTTTATTTACTCTTTAATGCAGCCTTTTTTAACAACTTGTTTTTAAATATCTTTATCAAACTCCAAACAACTTTTACTTATCTGGAAAACTTTTCTTGAATTTTTTATACTTATATATATACTTAGCATATATACTTTTACATATATTTATATATATACTATATATACTTTTTGTATTTCTTTTTAATATTATTTCTGTTATGGCTCAAATTTCCTGCACAAAATGGTAACATGTTCCATTCCTAATTTCTAAACTTTGCACTTATTCGCAAAGATCTCTTTTTTTCAAATTTTTTGTCAAAAATAACAAAATTGTGGTATGGTGTAATAGCCATGGTGTAAAGGCTTTGGTGCAAAGGTGTATAAGCTTGATTTACTCTAATTACTTACACATTTTTTTGCCGCATTTTCTAATTAAATCATAATTGACCTTTCGCCAGACTGACTCTTTCACCAGCTACTTCAAAGGGCTGGTAACTAGCAAGTGGTGTCCAACTTGTACTTTAAAGGTGATGGTGGTCAACCCCAGCAGCATTATCATACTTTATGCAAAAACAATTTAAATAATTGAGCATTTTTAAAAACCAAAAAATGCATATTAACTAGAATATTGAATAAAACTTATTTTTATTTTTTTACTTTTTTTGTTATTTAACTTATTTGTTTTATCTGTTTTTTCATTTTTGTTTTAATGACTAATTTATTTAATGATTATTAATTATTTATTAGAGTGTTGTACTTTGACTGACTTCAATGGTTAGAAAATGCAGGGAGTGTACATACATCAATTGACTTAAATAGGTGGAACATGTAAGAAATGTACATATATTGACTGACTTGAATAGCTAAAACATGCTACATTGTTAAGTAACCATAAATCGATTAAAGGTTTTGGTTTGGGAAAGCAATCTATCTGTTTAAAAAACATATTATTTTTCAAAAGATGAAATGTTGGGTTTTAAATTATAAAAAATTTATATAGAAATTTTAAAATAATATTCATTTGACAAACAAAGTATTTTTTTTAATGCATAAAAAACAACATTTTTTTAACTAAAAAATGAAAATAGTGCATTTAAAAAAAAAACTTTTAATAATAATTTTTTATATACTTTTCTTTCATTTGAGAATAAGAGTTACTTTTGAAATAAAATATATACATATTTTGTTAAAAGGAACCTTTTAAATGTTTTAAGGTGCAACCCCTTATAAAATAAGTTAGTTGACAAATTATATGTAAAACAACAATATCTTTAATCTTATAATCTGTAATTTCTTATTAATTAAAATAAACATTGTTTAAAACAAACATTTTGGACAAGACACTCTGAAAGTAATATAATAAATTAAACCATATATGAAATATATATATATATATATATATATATATATATATATATATATATATATATAAATTGTATATAAAATAAACCTTGATTTGTTGCGAAGATGAGCTAAACTCTTGTACTACCAGTTTGCAAACTTCTATTAGCTGTTCAAAATTAAGCTCACATACACCTAAAGAGGTTAACACCCGCTTTAATGCAGTACAGTCAATATCATTATTCAAATAATAAAGACCAAGTTTTTCTTGAAGTATTTCAGGAGAGATCACTTTATAAATTTCTTGTTGAGAAAAGACTATGTGTTTTGGAATCACCCAACTTAAAACTTTGTCATTCTCTATATTTCTAGGTATAACAGGTAAACATGCTTCACGCTGTAAAGACTTTATCATTTGCTGACTGACTTGCTTAAACACACCAAACACGTTGTCCTCAAGATCCATAAATTTCAAATACTCAATAACACCTTCTAAACCTTTGAAGTATTGATGAACCTAATAACAAAACACTTGTAAGTAATTTTATATTTTTTATAATTTTAAATAATCAAAAAAAAAATAATAATAATAAATTATCTTTTCTATAAATAAAAATATCCTTATCTATTTTATAAATTTTGTATTTGCAATATGGTAGTGAGTTTCAAGTTCTGCACTTCTTGCTTTAAAATTATTTTTTAGGCAAAAACAGTGGATCCATTCGGAACTCCGTCTCGACGGATTTTTCTCGGTTTTTCGGAGTTTCGGAGTTCGAGACAAATCGAGAAACTTCGACGAAACTTCGACGAAGTTTTTAGAAAATATCAATTTTTTATTCGTAAAATAATTGAATTCTTATTTTATTTCTACGTGGTTTTTACAATTGTAAAATGTAATTTTAAAAATTGTTTCAAATGTAAGTGTTCTCTTTGTTTAATAACAACACTAATATACATCGCAAAGCAATTGGTAATGTACAGTGGGCCAGGTGATGATGGTGAAAAAAACCTCAAAAAAAGTTTATTCTATTCAAAACCATATATTAAAACATGCTCATACTTTTCCATTGTACTATTTCAAAAACTCTTTTGTGTATATGAGTATCTTTTTAGCATTAGTATTTTTTTAAATCCACAAAAATCAATTGCGGTATAATAAAATGTAATGCATAATTAAAATCAAGAATTTTTTAATTTTTAAGCAGAGATATAATAAACAGTAACTTTTAAAATATTATGCGAATGTGATATTAGTATATATATTTTAACTACTCAATAGTTTACCTTTACAAAAAAAAAGTTTAGTCAAGATCATTATTTATAATATAAACAAAGACTGGTCGTAAAATAACGAGGTAAGTTTTTAGCATATAAAACATATAAAACTTTCATTTTATACAAGTAGTGTCGTATTTTGTATGATCAAAATAATTTTGTCCACAATAAGTCTAAAATCCGGCCCACTGAGCATTGTGGCAAAATTGTGCAATAAAATGTTATCAGTGAAAATAAATAATAATAATAATTAATGTTTAATTATACTTACCTATCAGAATAAATAACTTAATAACTTAAAATGTGATAACTTTTCACAATTAAAATAAAATTAAAAACAAATATGGGAGGTCATTATCAAATTGATAATTTTTCTTTCATAGAAAAAAATGGTTTCGGAAGCGTGGAAGTACTTTAATAAAGTTGTGGTAAATGATAAGAAGTATGGAGATTGCAAAAAATATCATAAAAGAATCGCTTGTCCAGGAAGCAGCACAAACGACCTTATTGGACACGTCAAAAGTTGCAAGAAAATAGATTTGAAACCATTCAGTTCCAGACCAGTTTTGACTAAAATGTCATTAAACGATCTTCTTGCCAAGTTGACAGCTCTTGATGGGTATTCGATTAGGTCCATAACTCAATCTGAAACACTAAGAATGCTTTTTGAAAATTACGGGCATAGTTTGCCTAAGTCAGCGTCCGCAATTTCAGAAAAAATTAAGATGTTTCATGCTGAAGCCAAATACTTAATGATCGCTGAATTGGCTGCATTGAAAGCAAAAGGAGAAAAATTTGGACTAACAGGTGACGAATGGTGTAGCAATAGAGGTAGAAGATACTACAATTTAAATGTTCATCACGACAGAACGTATTGTTTAGGAATGATGAGATTGCCATCTCCTAGTTCTGCTGAAACATTAAACATTTTGATAATGGAAAAATTAAAAGAATTTGGTATAGATAGTGAAGATATTGCAGGTAAAACTACGGATGGCTGTAGTTGGATGGTGAAATTGGGTACCATATTTAAGTTTCCACATCAGATCTGCCAGAATCATTCAATTCATTTGAGTGTTTGTGATTTGATATACGCTAAAAAAGATTGTCGCAAAATTGTGAACAAAGAAACTGAATCGATTATTGAAACAGAAACAGAAACTGATGGAGAGTCTGAAGGAGAGTTTCTTATTGAATATTCGGAGAATGAGATTGAGTATGAAGAAAATATCGAAAAAAATCTACAGAAACTTCGAATACTAATTAAGTTTTTGAAATATTCATCGTTTCGATATGAAGTTCTTAAAAGAAAAATACACGAAATATACGGATCTTCGCATGACAAAGGACTGTTGTTCGACAACCGAACAAGATGGAACAGTGTTTTTAAGATGATTAAAAGATTTCTGGATTGCTTAGAAGCTGTAAAAAAAACACTCGAAGAGCTAAACTGCTTAAACATGTTAGCTGAAATTGACTTGGATTTCTTAAAATCGCTGTCTGACTTATTGGAAGTCGTTGCTGACGCTGCAGTTCGCTTGGAAAAACCAAATACAACAATTTTGGAGTGTGACATTATTATGGAAACGTTAGTAAGGAAATTGAAGGTTGCAGAAACTGACATCAGTTCTAATTTTGCAGAGACCTTAATCTCCAGATATGAAGATCGTAAAAACGTTATGTTGGTATCATTGAGTCGTTATTTGCACAATCCCGATTTTTTTAAAAATAAAAACCACACATTTTTTTACGCTTCCAAAAAAGATATTCAAATTTATGCTTCAAAATTATTTGATCAACTATTTGCAACAAAAGAAAATAGTCTCCAATCAAAATCAGATGATCACGCTAAAAACAAACAAGAAGAACCATCACAATCGACATCTTTTTTCTCCGAAATTCAAGAAGTTCTAATTCAAAATCAATCAGCAGCTAAAAAACCAAAAAAAGTCAAGACCTTCACCAATCAGTTGAAAGAATATGAAGTAACTGGTGTGAAATCAGAAACAGTTTTAAAATTTGAACTAGCCATCCACAGAATTCAAGCAACTTCCTCGGAAGCAGAAAGAGTTTTCTCCTCTTTTTTTTTTCTTTTCTTCCAGATTTGTCACAAAGTTTCGTAGTTCGCTTTCTGATGAAATGATAGATGTTTTGATCTTTTTAAAATATTATTTAAAAAGATCTTCAGTATAAATACTTTTTTTTTCAATTTTTTTTTTTAATTTTTACTATAGGTGCCCCAACAAGTCTTTATTGCATAGCAACGCAGAAGGGCATTTAACTGAAAGTTCACGCCTTCTTCCTAACCGATGCCGGTTAGAAAGCCAATTATTAGATATAACTTGTTCGTTAAAAAATTGTTATAAAAAAAATATTTATGTACTCAGAAATATAAAAATATAAATTTTTTAAAATTTTATTATGAATTATAAATCGAAATATTTAAAATTAAAAAATAAAAATACAAGAACAATGTTTAATTATCAAATAGAGAGTTTAATTTTTTTATCAAATAGATAGTTTAATTTTTATAACAAAATATTATCGAAACTCCGATTTTTTCTCGACTCCGACGGAGTTTTTTCTCGATTTCTCTCGACTCCGTTTTTTCTCGATTTTGGATCCTTTGGGCAAGAAGTGCTAAGTTTGAAACCCATGGAAGTCACTTGTAGTATTTTAAACCCATCAAAGTCACTTGTTGAAACCTATCGGACTCATTTGTAGTATTTTAAACTACTTATTTCTTTATGCAGTAGTCTTGCTTGTTTTTAGTTTATGCTTTGTTATTGTTATTTTAAAAGAACGTTCTAAAACAATTTGTAAAAAAAAGAGCACTGTAATGTCTCCCCTATAAAAAAATAATAAAAAATTTCTTCCTAATCCTATAAACAAAGTTATTTTAACATTTTGATATTAGGATAACAAAGTTATCCTTTTGATCTAATACCAAATTTCAACGAAGAATTTTTTAAAAACAAATTAAAGTTGTCAAAAATGATCTTAAACCAATAAAAAAAAATTTCTCTTCATTTTAACTTAAAAAATGCTTTTTAAATTTGGTTGCATTTGATTTGTTTTTGAATTTTTAAATTTGGTTGCAATTGAACTATTGCATCCAAAATTTTTTGGAAAATTTTTTCACTACTGATGGTATATACTACTTGTGGTTTTGTAAAATTCAAAAAAATTTATTTCACCACTGGAAGTTTGTACTTGGTAGTTTGTAGTGTACTAGGTAGTTAGTAGCTGGAAGTTTGTTCTAGGTAGTTTGTAGTGTTGTACACTGGAAGTTTATTTGTTCAAAGAAAATTACACTTATTATTAAAAAAATACAAAAAAAAAAAAAATTTAAGTTTAATTTTAATGTTAATTTAATTTTAAGTTCAATGTTAATTATTGTTGTTTTGTTAACCAAAATTTTTTCTATTAACAAATATTTTATTTCTCAATATATTTGTTATTAATAACATAATATAGTATTTAAAATATGGTACAATAAATTTTCCACAACTTTTTAAAAATCTTTTAAAGTTCAAAATCATATGAGTAAAATTAAATTTTAAATATTAAATTTTTTCTTTAGATAATTATTGGGAAGTTTTGGGTGCCAAACTATATAAAACATTTTCCTTTTTTACTTACAAAAAAAATCAGTTGAAGAACAGTTTATAATAAATAAAAAAAATTGAGAAAAAATTTTACTTTAAAAGAATGAAAAGCTTCAACAGTTAATTTTGGGAGTTGTTGTAAAATATACTGATTCCATGCACTATCTTTGTTAATATCTTCCCGAGAAGATGGTACTTCGAAATCAGCTTGTATAATAAACTTAAATCCGTAGCTTCTCAATGGTAAAAATGCAAAGACTTGTTGAGCAGGAAGTGCCTAATGGAAAATATGTACAAAAAAAAAAAAAAATACATACTACAATTTACTTTTATATACCATATAAAAAAATATAAATAAAATAAATTTAATAAAGAAATTAATAAAAAAAATAAAAACTAATAAAGTTATACTTTTATTTATTACTTATATTTAATTTAGTTATTTATTATAAATAATAACTAATTAAAATTGTAAATTTTTACAAATTTTTAAAATTTTAAAATTTTTTAAAGTTGTCAGTTTAAAAACAACAACAACATGCAATAAAACAAACACATTTTCCACTTTACAGATAAAAAAAAAGCCTCCAAATAAATTGTAGATTGCAATTAATTCTTCTATATTAAACAACACCTTGAATGAAATTAATAAATTTAATCAGTTACAATTGCACAAAATGTAAATGAGATAACTAAAGAGTAACTCAATAAGTAGGAATAAGCTTTTAGAAAAGATCACTGAGTTAAATTGAAAAAAAGGTAAACTGTTTCTTTACAAAGTATATATATATATATATTTTTTTAGTTATTAAGGTGCTCTAAGGAGATCTAATAATGGTTTCATCACACAATGGTTTCATCACACAATGGTTTTATCACACAATGGTTTCATCACACAATAGTTTTATCACACAATGGTTTCATCACACAATGATTTCATCACACAATGGTTTCATCACACAATGGTTTCATTATAGATTATTTCAAAAGAGCATTTAACCAGGAAGTTCATACATTCTTCTTTTACTTAATGCCAGTTACCTAGCCAAAGTAGGTCGGAAACCTTACCATTCTGAACTAAAATTTTAATCACTGTGCCACAGCTGCTCAATATGATGCATAGTTTTTTATAGTTTTGTAGTTGTTACATAACAAATCACAGAAGTAGGAACAAAAATAAATGATGACAAAAAAAACAAAACACTTTTATAATTGAAACATGTTTTTTCTACAAAAGATTTGTTGTGAAATGTAATGACTTTAGAAAAAAATTTCTAAATTTTTTTCTAAAGCCATTACATTTTTGGAGTTAATGGGTACCAAAAACCAGGAATAAATAATCATTTTGTGACTTTCAAATCTGATGTTCTATTTTAGGACTCCATATCCTTGCATGTGTGGCAATTGAAATCTATTTAAATAAATTTATCAAAATAAAACTATATTTTCTGAGCATGATTAATAAATTATACTAATTTTAAATCTAAATTAATACAAAATATAAAAATAAAAGCTTTAATACAAGTTTGATTGCATGAATAAAAAAAAAAACTACACAAATATTATTTAATAAAATTTTTGGTTTCTATGCAACCATTATTAAACCCAAAAATAAATATTAAAAATCACAGCTTGAACCAAGCTTTGATCAAGTGTTAAAATTTCATTAAGTTAATTCAAAAGAGAGCTGTTCTACAATTTCAACTGTAAGTTGAAAATGTAGTCATTTATTTCTGAATTTTGAGATTTTCAATAATTTTATCAATTTAATCTTGATCAAATCTACTTTAAATTTTCAAACAAAAAAGAAGCCATTTAAAAACCTTTCACACTGTTATCACAAACACTAAGCTAATCTAGCATCAGTCAATATAAGCATCTAGCATCACTAGCATCAGTCAATATAATAGCATAAATTCAATTAACATATTAGCATATAGACATACAACACACTAGAGTAAAATCAATCAACACAATAGCATATATTCCATCAACACACTAGAATATACTCAATCAATACACTAATATATACTCAACCAACAGGCTAGCATATACGCAACTAATATACTAGCATATCATTTTATAAGCCTGTGGCTATAGACTTTAGCAGTGCTAAAGTCTAGTAGCCACAGGCTAGACTGCTAGTGTTATTTTATAAATGCTAAAATATTTTCAGGATATGTTTTTAACACAACACGTTTCCAACACAATAGGTTTCCAACACAACATGTTTCCAACACAAGTAAGAATAATGGTCAACAATGTGTCATGGTGAGTGTGGCAAGTATCAGTTTTATCAAATTATAAAACGTAATTTTCTTGTGTTTTTTTTAGAATAGCATTAGAAATCATATCCATTACTAGACACTTAACATAGTGGTAACCATTGGTAACCATTTTCCAGACACTCTTTACCTTTAAAAAGTTGTTCCATTATAGTACAAAAATGGAATTTGTTACTGATGAAAAAATTACTACAGAACAGATTTATTTGGTGCATTGGAGTGTACATACACTTACCGAGGATTTTGGTATGACCAGACAGTATATTTATTTTAATTTTTAAATTTTTTATGTCTTATTCCCTAATAATTTCTCAAAAAAATTTTATTACAATTAACTACAGAAAAATGCAATTTTTCTAAAATGGAACTTTATTCTTTTTTTATCAAATCTCTTTACGTTTTTTTTTTATACATCTATACAATTTACTGTAAGAATATTGTATTTCAAATGTTTGGAGAATTTTAAAAGAACAAAAACATTTTTTTCTTATAATTCTTGTAGTTTTTTTTTTTTATTACATAAATGTATACCTCAGTTTTCAATTTGTTGTTAAATGGAAATGCAAATGCAATATTTGTTGATTTAACATCTTCACGGACCTAAAAATAAAACTTAATGTCTTAAAAAGAAATTATTAAAAAAACTGTTTTATGTTTTCTTTAAAGCAATGAAGCATGTCAAAAATGATGTAACATTAAAAATAAAAAAACAAACATCTATAGGTATTTCTTTTTCAACCACAAACCATAAACGAGAATCATTGTTATTAGAGAGCCGAACAATATTTTTTTCTACATGTTCTCTTTCCATTACTTTCATAATGTTTGATACCTAATTTTAAATTAAAAAAAAAATTAAATAAAAAATAATAAAAAAATTAAATTAAATTAAAAAAAAAAAAAAGTTAAATCAAGATTAAAGATAGAGATCGCAAAAAAAAAAAAAAAAAAAAAAATTGAAACCTTGTCATCAATGATTATTGTATGTAAACGATTAAGAAACAGCAACAAAGAAGAATGAATGTCATGAAACCGTGAAATAAGTTTTGAATGCTGCATTTCTTTCTTTAAAGGCAAGACAATCTGTGTTTTCCAGCCACTACAATTAAAAAACTCTAATAAACATATATAATTATATATTATGTTTAATGCATTTATTTTTTGTGTTCGATGTATATATATTATAATAGGATTAAGCTTATAACAAATTAATTAATTAACTTTAAAATTATTAAATTAAAAATATTTTTTATAAAAGTCTTAAAAATAATTTTTATAAAAGATTTAAAGGTTAATAAAGATTTCGAAAATATAAAGAGTATTAAGATACCTAATCTAGAAGTTAATAAAGATTTCAAAAATATAAAGAGCATTAAGATAGCTTAATGTTTTAATTTAAACTTGGCATATAAATACAAAAGACTAAAAAATTTAATCTTTTTATATTTTTTCTTTATTCTTTAAACTTTTTTAAATAAATTTAATAACACACTTTATATACTTTTAAACACTTTAATTATGAATCCATTGTTCAGTTTCTAACAGAGTTTATAGTTTTAATTCATGGCAGTATAGACAGAGTCTATTTACTGCTATCAGGGTGCACTTTGTGATAGTCCTCATTTACAGAAGGAATTATAGTTAAATTTTGGTTCAGGTTAAAAACTCATTGTATTCCTGAATGTATGTATTCCAAATGGTAGAACATATCCAGGCATAAATATACACTTCCAGGTAGACATGTACTGTAAACACACATACATCCTGTAGTCTGCTAACTTCTTTTGAAGTCAGTTTAAATTGTTTGTTATACATTCAGATTTTGAGAAAGTATATGATTTTGAACATCCAGTGGGCATGGTACATTACTCTGGGTGACATGAATTGTTATCCACTGGCAGGATCAAAACCAAGAAATATAATCAAAAATTTATTTATAACCATCTCCCTATTGGCTTTAATCAAGATGCATGTTAGCATAATTGATGATGAGTTGCTTTGCCTCTTCTACTAGAGGTATCATTTCATCATCTGCAATCCCTGGTTCATAATTACCTTCATCTATGAGGGCCAATTGTTTGTAAAAGCATTAGAAAAGTGGAATGCTGGAAGAAGCTGTGGCTTCTATACACAATTATAATACTCCAACATTAATCAGTTTCATAGTTTGATACTTGTAATCCAGTGATAAGAGGTCCTTTTCAAGGTGCTGTTCTGGTAGGACACAGGCACAAGCAAGCTGACAAGTGCTTAAGCTGGTCTTGTTATAACACATAGCTTTGATGCTAATGTCAGCATCAAAGTGTTGAAAAGCATAGGAATAGGAAAACTATTGAAAAGTATCAGGGATCGGAGTTTCCCAACTACTTACGACTGCCAAGCTTAGCTATAGTCATAATGATGGCTATACCCTAGGTAAAGCCAGAGTTTCTCCTGCTCCTGATGAAAGTTTAGCAATTGTAATTAGTTGAAAAACTGAAAGTAGTTGAGAAGTGTTAATATCCCTGATATCAACACTTGATGATAATCGATATTCTTATTTCAAATAATGTTTCCAGGAATCAGTTTTTCATCCCACTAGACAGCACTTTCAAGATGAATGTTTTCACAAAACTTTGCTTTTTTGTTAGTAAATCTCTGGACTATGTGTTTAGTTCTTTTTTGGCAAATCAAGTCTGTATTTAGTGTAAGTTCATGAATGCTCTGTTCTAAACTTTTGAAAATTTCTGCTATAACAAAAACATTTTGACACTTTTGCTCTATCCTCTTTTTTTTTTAAATTAAAAAATTTTTTTTGTTGGTTAATGATTAGAAATAATTGGAATAAAATTCAAAATGAAGTTGCCGCAATACTGCATGACATAAGAACTGAAACACTATATATCATGTGGCTAATAGCGTAAGACCCGTAGACTTGCAGGAGGTTAGATTGCGTGTGACCAATTTGCTTAAGGCACTCGAGTAGAAATGGAATTGATTTAATAGTGTTGTGCACTTTTACCATTGTTTGTCCCAATCGAGATTTTCATTTAACATGATACCAAGGTACTTGTAGCTGGGGACAATTTCAACCTCAGTCTTATCAAGTATAGCAGGTGATAGAAAATGACTTATGGGGCACCTGGAGTTAATTTTAACAACTTTACATTTAATATAACTATATTATATGTAATTTAACTATAAATATTAAAAAATATCATTTATGATATTAATATATTATATAATATATACACCATTAATAATTTATTATTTTTTGTTATTTTTAACTAATATACAACTAATAAAAATAATTATATTGTTTTGATTATTAGAATAACTTGAGTTATTTCAATCAAATTAAAAAGTAGAAAAATAACAACTTACCAAAGGAAAAATAATAATAACTTATGTAAGTTAACTAACTTAACATATAGTTAACTAATTTGAGTTTAACTAAAAAGTTTAAGCTAATTAATAATTATAATTAAAATAAATATATATTTAAACTAATTAATATTCAAATTAATTTCATCAAACTAAAAAGTTTACTAATTTTAAATCTTGAAAAGTCTAGCTACTAAATAAAGTACTAAATAGATTGAAAATCATTTTATCAATTCAGAGATGATAAATTTAGTGAGTTATACAGCCAATATGAATTTGTTTTGGTCCAAAAGGATTGTACTAATTGACAAACAGAAAAAAATAGCTAATTTGATAGCCACAAAATTAAAATCAATTGAAAAACATAAACTTAAAACTTAAAAAATGAAAAGCATTTAAAAGTAGTTTTTAATATAAAGAATGAAATTAAAAAAACTGAATATAAACAAATATCAAATAAATTTGTACATAAAATATAGCATTAATACAACAAACATATACACAAAAACTTTAAAATTAAAAAAAAAATTAAAAATTTATGTATTATTTAAAATTTAATATAAATATATTTATCCAATGATTTTAATAAACATAATATACAATTATACAAATTTAAATAAATAAAATATATCAACATACTAATTTCTAGATTCGCAAGGTTGATAAGTAGATCTTTGATCTGAATTCCAATCATAAATCCAATTTGGAAGAATATAACCGTTTGAACCACTAGAAGCATCAAACTTGATATGATAACCATTTGAGTGTATCTCAGGCATATCAGTGACACGAAAAACTGACTTGAAACCAATCCCTTTTTGACCTAAAAGCAAAAACAAAATAAATAAAAGTGGGTCTTTAAAAAAAGAGGTCTTTAAATAAAAAATAACAAAATAAAACTAAAAATAAAAAATAAATTTAACACATTCCTTATGAGAAATACTGGTTACTGTTGCTAAACATTATTTGGTAATATATTTGGCCATAACCATTGAGTTTCATTAACCCACCTACTTAATTACTAATCCACTGCTTTATTCAATTGGATCCTACAGTGCTAACTTTTTCCCTTTATCAGTATAATTATAACTTTTAAACACAGCTTTTGAATCTTCTTAAGCATTTTTCATCATCAGGTATTAACTAGCTGTAGTATGTTTTTTATAGCTCATTTATAGATTTTGTAACAAAAATTTTAAAAAAAATCCTTTAATTAATAACTGATGTCAGTAAACAAGATGGGGGAATTTTATAAAAATTGATAAAAAAAAATAATAATAAATAAAAAAACTGATGATTGACTACTCATTTTTTAATTAATAAATGAGTAGTCAATTTTTATAAAACCTGCTTATAGATGGCATAAATATAAACTTGAAAAATAATTTTTTTGAAATTGACATCATTTTGGTTTCATAACCCCACCCTATTATTAATTATCGCCAAACTTTTCAGTACTAACTCCATCCCCCCTCAGCCCATCTTGTTTACTAACATCAGTTATGAAAGGTCTCTAAGGCTCCCTACTTTGGATTAAAAAATTTATTACGTAAAATCCAAAATAATTTTTTCTCTTTTGTTGAATTTTATGATTTATAGATATATAGATTTATAGATTTTGAAAAAAAAATGTTTATAAAAAAAACCCTAAAATAAAATTAATAATTTAACAGTTTTTTTAAAGTGTTTTTTTATTTTTTTTAAAACCTGCTTATAGTTGGCATATATATAAACTTAAAAAAAAAGGCTTTTTAAAATTTAAATCATATTGGTTTCAAAACCCCTCTTCATTATTAATTATTGTAAAACTTTTAAAAACCATCTTCTACCCCTTCCCTTTCCCCCAATCCTAATTACTGACATTATTTATGGATGACCTCAAAGGCTTCCTACATTAAATTAAAATAATTATTCTGTAAATTCCGAAATACTTTTTTCTCATTTGTTGAATTTCATGACTTATATTTGATATATATTGACAATGTCTATGATTTTAGCATAGTCTGCATATTATACAATTCATATTATAGATATCATAATACATTTTAATTTGCTTTCAGAAAAGACTGTATGAAGCATATATTTCGTTCAATAAAATTAGGGAAGCATTCCTGTAACGATTTCCGGTTTTTTTTGCTGCTATTGTTTTTAAATTTATTTTAAACACAATAACTAAAATAATTAGTTTAGTTGTTGTGTTATATTAATTTAAATGACATTTGTATTATTTTATATTAAAAATGTTAACACTAATAAGTAAATAAAAGATATTGCTTAGTTATTGAAAACGTATAATTTAACTATCAATTAAAGTTGAATAAATTTCACAGGGTGGATTGTTAACCTAGAATGATTAACAATAATAAGAAAAACAATTATAATACTATTAAGAAAAAGTCTCATACTTTTCTTGAAAACAATCATTTTTAAAGTTAAACTCTAAAAGTTTTATAACAATTTCTATACTATACTAAGATGCTTTATAAAATAATTAACTAATTTTAACTAATAATTAATAAAAAAATAATCTTCAGTAAATAATTTTATAAATTTGATTAACTTATGAAATTGTCTTGTGACTATGTGTGAGATATTATATCATATACGGCAATACCATAATATATATATATATATATATATATATATATATATATATATATATATATATATATATATATATATATATATATATATATATATATATATATAACAAAAATATCATTTTAAAAATTTTTGTTAAAAAATCTTTAAAATTATTGTAGCACTTTATAAATCGAAAAGAAAATAAGAAAAAACAGAATTCAGGAATTTAAAATATATAAAGTAATTAGTAATTTAAAAAGCAGTAATTTTTAATTTTAAATGAACTTTTAAATGTTTTGGTATAGGTATCAACTTTTAATGATGCATAGGTACCGATAGAACAATTGGTTATAACTGGTTATGGAAACAACTGGTTAATGGAAAATGATTATATTTTAGCACCCATGAAAACTCTTTAATAACCTAAAATTATCAACTTATAACAATATTCTCTGTTTATGTACAAATGTAAAGTGAAATTGTTTCTACCTCTTAGTCATAATCTAACTATAAAAAAAAAAAATGATTTCTTTAGAACAAAAAAGTTTAAAAAAATTTTGATTCATCTTAAAAATGGTTATAAACTCTGAACAAGAAAATTGATAAAAATATTTTTAAAATATTTTGAATACTTTACTTAAAAATATGTAAAAAATTTAAATATTTTTAGGGAAAGTTGATATTTATACTTATAAAAAGATTCTATTTATATATTGAAAGTTATTATTTACTTTCCCTGATGTTTTTAAAAATAAACTAATAAAAGTTTTTGAATCACTAATTTGTTTTTTAAAAAATTGTTTCAGAAGTTCAGATTTCTTTTTTAATATGTATGACAATTTGATGAAAAGTTTATTTCTTAAAATCATCATTATCGTCAAAATATTCAAAACAAAATAATATTGTAAAATATATATTTATATGATATCATACATAGTTATATATAATATATATATGATACCCAACTTTTTTTGTGATATGGCATCTCAGAATAACCCCATTTACAATCATATGCTTTTGAAATATCACAAAAAAACTTTATGAGTATAAACTAGGAAGTAAACAAGTGAAAAAAAACTATAATGCTACTAAAGTTATATTTGCATCAAATAAGTTAGTGACTTTATACCAACAAAATGGATTTCACTCAAATCTGATGTCTACGTCTTCTTTTACATAAAAAAATCTTTGTGCAAAAATAATTTTTCTTTTTATCTGATGATGTAACTGCCAAAATACAAAAACAAAAATTGCTATTTGCATTAAATGATTCACATAAAAAGAATTATTTATATCTTTATATTTATATGATTTTATGTTTACATGTTTATATGTATGCATTTATATACCATTTTAAAAATATATCAGTAAAGAGATAAAAAAAAAAACTCAAAATGGTGTTTTTTAAATCTCTTTAAGTAAAATTCAATTCTCCGTATCGAAAACCTGACAATTTCATGGGACAATTTCATGGGTTTAAAATCCACAGCTAGCATAAAAACATTTTTTTGGTTTTTCAATCTTGCTGTTTTTTTAAACACAAAACAAAAGCATTTTAGGAAAATAAAATTTTTAGGAAATTTTCTAAAGTTATCTTATATTATACATTTACTATACACCATCATTCCATAATGACCCGCAAACTTAACTTACATATGTTTGTATGTAAAACAATACAAATGGAATTTTTACATTAAATGTAAATGACATTAAACATTTTACATTTTGTATAAAACACTTTTTCTCGGATTTAATGGCTGCCAAGAGTTTCCATGTCATGCATGAGTGAGCATTACTACTTCTATTGTTAAGTTTAGCATTATACATATATATATGTATATATATATATATATATATATATATATATATATATATATATATATATATATATATTAGGGTAGATCATCGATGCTGCTTCCATCCATCGATGATTAGGATGCATCATCGATGGATGGAAACAAAATGTTGCTATATCATCTAAAAAATATTTTTAAAAAAATCAAAATTTATTTCTCCTTCCTTTTTCGCCATCTAATCGAAAATAGGTCTTTCTTGTTATTGCTATGTATAATTACTCCTTAATACAAGGGAAGGAAGGATGGGGGTGGGGGTGGGGAGGGGATACTAAAAGGGTGGGTGGGAATTTTATTCCAGATCTAATTAACAAGGCGAGGGGGGTTGGAATAAAAGGAGGGAATTTAGACTGAAAATTTTATTATTTATCGCCTACTAGTTTATATTTTTTAATTTTTAAGGCTGATTTTCCCTGAATTTTATTTTTAGTTCATAGATATAAATTTTTTGATGATACCAAGTAAAAATTAATAAAAAGGAAGGAGGGGCGGGGGTCTTAATAAGCTTAGAGTGTGTGGAAAAATTTCCTAAAAATTAATAAAAGTCCTCCTCCCACTTCTGTTAAGGACTCTAGAGTATGAAAATAGCTCGTTAATGCTATTTAAAATTATGTACTATACAAAAAATGCAATATTTTAACTCTATATAAACTAAAAATTAAATAAAATGAACACTAGGTAAGAAAGCTCAAATACTACGGTCGACCATTTTATAAAAAAAATCTTGTCATAGAATAATCTAGTTTATTTGTATGAGTCAGTATTCCAATTTTTTTTGAAATGAAATATACTTTCTAGAAAAAAGTTTTGCTCATATATATTCGGCTCTTATCATCTCTCTATATACGGATACTGCTAATTCTGTAACCAATTTAACATGTTTTTCTACACTTTGATAATGGCATGGAAAGTCATCTAGTATCAATTTTGGCATATTTTTTATAGCACTATCAATTAAATCATCGCTTAAATCTTTCAACATAGGTGGTAAAGTCCTTGGATGTTCTTCCCAATTTACAAGACAGTTATAGTCAACTACATCAAAGTTTAGATGAGGAATTTTGAACTTCCTTACTTTTGAAGAATTCGTAGCAGTATTTTGTCTTGCAAGTTTAATTCTTTTAGCTGCGAGATCTCTAATTTCTATGCAATCATCAACCAACATTGATAGCAAAATACTTTCCGGGTGACCAATATAAGCATTTCTCTGAATACATTTATCAACTACTAGTCTATCATTTTCAGAAAGAAAACAAAAGAACTGAATTAGACGCCATAAGTGTTTTGCTCCTAAATAGCAATGGGGTTCTAATTTTATGAAAAACCACACTGGAGCATAAAATCGAAGAATGTAATCAGTAAGGATGACAAGCTCCTTAGGTGGAAGAGTGCTTGCAACATAAAAGCAAAGTATACAATTTGCTGTTGTCAGCCATCAAGAACGAACTAAGGACCAGGCTCTTTTTTTTCCAGGCTTTTTGTCACCTTACCTAACTCTATTCCCTTAGACATTTTATAAAGATACTGTTTGTCTTTGCTAATGTTATTTGTCACAACATTTAAAGCATTTGGTAAATTATTCCACCTTGGTTCAAATTTAACAATTTACAATTTATTACACTTTGCAACTGCTTTCCAATAATGCCACTGAAGGCAGTAGGTCTAGAAGTGGTGCTATCTAAATGGAACACTAAATGCCTCAACAGTAGTTCATTAAAATAGAAACATACATACTAACCATCGAACTTGATGTCCTAAATGCAGTTCCAGTAACCTATTCCACCTTTGTTCATGCCAGTATTTATGTTAGCTCACGGCTAACACATTATCAAGGGATATTTTATTTTTGTGAAAAAAATCTACAACAGGGTCTTTGATATTTGCCGATGATCAACTTGAAGGAAAAATCTGACCAAGAAAAAAGTTCCTCAATGATTAAGGTTTTACTGGTAATTGCTAATACACTAAGAGTTTTATCTTTTCAGCCATCAAAGAAAATTGATTTTGGGCCTGCTAAACACATAGCTAATTTTGCTTCTTGTGATAAGGTTCCTTTAAGAAGCTGTCTTTGGCGCCTTAACTTGTCTATGATTCTCTGTCATTTTTCTTTACAATTTCATTATCTGAAAGCGCATCAGTAGCAATAGCAGCATCAGCAGCACCATATCTGTCACATTCTATGGCTATTATTGGAAAATTGATCATATTTCTACCAGATTCACTTGGTGTTTCACTAAGTTCTGATAACTCATCCTCATCAACATTGCTCTGTGTGTCATTAATAACCTCCTTGTCACCAGACACAATATCTGCATCTATATTCGAACTGATACAAACTGATGCTTTCATAGTCCTTTTGTTATGTGAAAAAAAAATTTTTTTTTTGTGGTTCTCTCAAATGCTTTATTCAATTTAAAAGTAATTTCCTTATCCAAAGAACCAATAACCATTTCTTTGATTTCTTTGATCCACTAAAAATTCATGCTCAAGTACTTGCAACTTTAATTTTCTCCGGCATGTGCAGTTATTCAGATTAAGACAACATACTGCAATGTCACACAAGACTAAACTTTTCTGCTTAGCAATTGATACTGCTGAAGTCTTCAGCTCACCTTTTTGTTTAAGAATCTTTTTAAAAATGTTGCGCAAAGATTCTACTTTTTGCTGCACTCATCTTATTGTTGCAGGAGGAATATCAGATTTTGACTAAATGTCTGTAACATTTGCAGAAACTTGAGAAACTATTATGCTCAACTTTATAGTTCTAGGAAGTTTAAATTGAAGAAAAGAATACCGCTGCATAACTTCCTTAATAGTTGAAAGTTTGCGATAAGTTCACATACTATGCCATAAACGGGACAAGTGTGCTGCGCTCTAGTAGTAACCATATTTTACAGTGTAAAATGTAAATAAATTTTAATAAACACAATTTAGAAACAGAATTCTAAAAATAGATTTAAATCTATTAAACTAATAAATTTAAATATATTTAAAAAGTTGTTTTGAAAATTTTGTTTATTTTATCCTAATAATATACTAAGCTTCCTAAGTTTTCTTTTGAAACAACCATATAAAATAATTTGATAACAACGCTGGTTAAAATCATTACAAAAAAAATACAACAAAATAATTTAGTATATGCATCTTTCCTTTGTTATATAAATGATGGTTTAAAATTACTTTATAATTACAAGTAGTTATAAAGTTTTTTCTAACTATCGCCACATGTTTTTACATTTAGAAAAACATTGCTTACTGAATGAAAAGTCAAAAAATGATTTCTAAATCTACTCAAGAAGTTATGATAAAATAATTATTTTTAGGCTTTTTATGGGTATTTGAATAACAATAAAAAAACCTAAGAACGCACAATTAGGAAGCCAATTGGCAACAACAGCCATAATTTATTTTTTCCTTTTTTAACTTATACTATCTAATGATGACAATTTTTTCTATTCAAAATAATTTTTTTTATTGAACAAAGTAGTTTAATTGCATTAAAAAAAATCCTAAAATGCCAAAATATGGCAATATAAGATCTTGGTGGCAAAAGTATAACATAATAAATTTTATGAACTACATTAATACGATATTAATAATACTATTTTTAAACACTAGTATAAAATAATTACCTATATAACCTTTACGATGAATTCCTTTTGTACTTTTTCCAACATCACATAAAGCTTTTATATTACTTTCAGAAAAACCTTTTTCATTGTTCAATATTATAATCTGATCATGCTCTACTATAAAGGCTACAGTAGGCTTTTCATTATTGCTGTTTTCAATATATTGGTTATCGTCAGCATTTTGGATTAACTCTAACACAAAATGAGAATCTTTTGAATACAACTCATTTGAAAGACGCTGTAATGATCTTCCTTCTCTTTCTCTGTGAATTTCAATTAGTTTTTTCTCCTGTTCTCCAAGCTCAAGTCCAATTCCAAACTGTTCGCGACGAATAACATTAATAATTTTATGACAATGGTCATTTTGAACATCACTTGTAAGCCATTCATGTAAAACTTCTTCTTGACCTTTACAATATTTTAATTATTTAAAAATATTTTCATAGCTTTATAGTTTTGTTTAAAAAATAAAAAATTAGATAATAGATGATTATTATATAAGATGAATAATAGATACTGATGTACTGATGGAAATGTTTTAAATATTTACTGTTCATACTATAAAAATAAAACTTATTTTAATCTAATGTAAAACTTAAATCTAAAATATTAAAATAATAAACATTTTAAAAGACATTCTAGCTATTTTTTTTAAAACCATTTATTTATTTATTTGCGTTAAAAGTAATTACAATTTTTGTATATGGAAAATATAATAATAGCAAGGGCAAGAAATAGACAAAATAGGCTTATCCCTAAGTCCCTAAGTCTTATTGCCAAGTCCATTTGAATTTTTATAAAACCTTGTTTAAACTTAATTGATATAAAGCGTTAAAACAATGAATAAGAATTATTTATGGGAAGTTAAAATAGTAGTCTTATCTAAATAGCTTGTTTTTCCATTTTAAAAAGATGTTATAGAGTTTGAGTATACATAACATTTGACCTGTTTTTAATATTGCAGTCGAATCCAAAGAATCTACCATCAATGAAACGGTTGAAACATCCTAGGATAAAACAAATTTAAAAATGATAAAAATTAAAGAAAATTAGTTCTATATTTATATTAAAATATATATATATATATATATATATATATAATATATATATATATATATATATATATATATCAATAAAGTAATGGAGTTTATACAATTATATGTTAAAAATATGTTAAAACAAAAAATATGAATAAATAAATATGTCCATATATGTATGTTAAAACAAAAAATATGAATAAATGTGTACATATATGTATGTTAAAACAAAAAATATCAATATAAATTTATGTACATATATGTATGTTAAAACAAAAAATATCAATAAAAAAAAATGTACATTTGTTTGTTAAAACAAAAAATATTAATAAAAAATGTACATATATGTATGTTAAAACAAAAAATATCAATAAAAAAATATGTACATATATGTATGTTAAAACAAAATAATATTAATTGTTATCAAACTAATTTGTAAAAACTCAATTATACATTTCATTTTAATTATTTATAGGAATTTTTTTAATTTTTTTTTTTAGATTTCAAGCTCCATCAAATTATTATCTAAGCATCTCTAAAGATATTTCCTGTTTCAAAAAATAAAAAAGATCTTACTTTTTACTTTTTAAGACAGAATAATAATATGCGCATATAATAAATGCGCAATAAATGCGCATTTATTTAAGCAGTGTGAAATCATACTGAAATAACTGCTGCCAAGGGTTTCAATACATACACTGACTATCTTATAACATGCTGCAGGAAAAGAGTGCCAATACATCAACTCAGAGTTTGGGCAAGGGCAGCAATTGTTTTTTTTTATTATTCTCCACTTTTTTCTTCTTTTTCTGAAAAAGCTGTATGCTATAAAGATAAGTAAAAAGTAAAAAGAGTAAGCAAATGCTGATATATATGTTGTAGTAAAAATACGTATATACCAGGCTGTTAAAGGAAGCACGTGCAGTCATATGCCTTGTTTGTCCTTGCATAGAATAACTTTTTTAGACAACTTGATCACAGCTGATTGCATATTTCAACAATTAAAGTGTTTTAAAAATTTCAGATAATTATTATCGAATTAAAATTGAATTATTATTAGCCAAAAGAATTATGTATATACTCTATAGTAGATTGTTAGACATCAATAACATTTTGGTCTCTATTGCTCAATTCTTATTCTGGTCTCTATTGCTCAATTCTTATTCAAACACTTCTACAGCCTGCTGTACATATCTGTCTTACAAAAGTCTTCTCCAGAACTATTTAACTTTTTGTGATGAGGCAAATAAAAAAGCTTTTCACATATCAAAAGCTTTTGATAAAGTCTAGCATGCTAGTCTTTTTCAAAGCTCTTTTCTTATAGCCTGGAATCTTCCTAAATTTTTTTAAAATAATCGCAGTAACAACATTGTGCTTGATGGAAATTACTCTCCTTTACTTTGAGTAAGCTCTTTGGTTCCAAATAGAATTAATTTTTCAAAAAATAATAAATGCAGAAAAATGCAGAAAAATATGATCGAAACAGAAAAATATTTGAGTATTCAACACATTTAAAGAAAAGTTGGTAATAATAAAAATGGTTAATACATTTAAAGAAAAAGTGGTTAATACTGAACAAAGATGGTAGTGAGAAAACTACATTGAAACTGATTCAGACAATCTTCAAATCATTACCAATAACTTTTTTCAGTAACTTCTTTATCGAAAAAAAATACCTAGAATAAAAAGTGTTTTTCTAATACATAAAATTAATAGCTTTTTTAAGACTTTTTTTTAGCTTTTTTTAAAACATTTTCTAGATCTCTTCTTTATTTTTCTATATTTAGAAAATATAGCTAGATTCTAGACTTCTCTTGTTAAATTTATTTAAATTTTATACTAAAACATTTAAAACTGTTGTTTGTGTATAATCTCAACACTTTACCTGAAAAACAGAATCAGTATTTTGAATCTGAAGAACTTTAAGATTGGTCTTGATAGTGTCATCTAAAAAACATAATTACAATTTGGTAAGTAATGGAGATAAACAAATTTCAAATTCGAAATCAGCATATTTGAATAAGTATAAGAGAGTTAATGTGTATATATATATATATATATATATATATATATATATATATATATATATATATATATATATATATATATATGTATTGTATATAAAATTGTTTAAATAATTCAAGGTTGAGAATTTTACTGTTATTATTAATTAGATTATTAGGGCTAATCAAGTAAATTATTTAAATTTCAATAGTCTTTAATAAAAACGTTTAGGTTTTATTTTTGAGTCATAAAACCATATAATTTTTTGCCTTCAAGGCAACTAACTCTGTCTTGTTATATAGTAGGCCATGCTGATGCATATGTTCAAATTAAGAGTTGTGTCTTGCTTTCATAGAAATAACCAGAGCATACTAAAAAACATGCAGTATGATGCCTTGCAGATGTAAACAACCTTGGTAACAACTAAATGTTAATGGGGTGGGTTAAAGTATTCTTTTTACTTAAGGGTCTTTAAAAAACTTTGAAGATGCTATCGCTATAACTAAAATGTATGGTTAATCAGATCTTTATATTACTGGTATTACTATTATTATTGGTGTGAGAAAAAAATAATATGCAAACTTATTTTCAAATGTTGTTAATTGATAGTTTATGATAAGTATGTTTACACGCATAATAAAATAAATATTAGTAGTTTATATAATATGCTCAAAGTTTGTATATTTTTATATTTTGTTTTTCTATGTTTCATACGCAGCGTTACTTAGCAGTGTGTAAAGCAAGATTTATTCTTTCTTATCTATTTCAGTCAAGTGGTGTTACAACAATTTGGTATTATTTGGCACCATTAGTGCCAGGTGGTATTAATTCATATTATATTAATAAACCTGTAATTGTTTATTATAGTTTATTGAAAACGCTGATGTGTGCTTTAGAAGAAAAATATTTTATAAAGTTTTTGAAAAAATATCCTCAAAAAAATTTCAAAAATCTAAAAACAAATTACAATTTAGTAAGTAATGGAGATTAACAAATTTCAAATTTGAAATCAGCATATTTCAATAAGTATAAAAGAGTTAAATTATTATTATTATTATTATTATTATTATTATTATTATTATTATTATTAATAATAATAGTTAATAATAACTAACATTGTAATAAACAAAAAAATTCAACGCAGAACAACCAAAATGAAACCGAAACTAACACATCTTGAATACAAAAAAAGTATCAAAATTTTAACAAACTGGTCTCCAAAGTTTGACAACTTTGGAAACTAAATGGCTAAGAGACGACTTGATCCAGCAATTCAAGATATTTAAAAGTATTGAAATCATTGATATTAAACAAAATCAAACATTGAACTCTATTTGCACATTATGTCCAGCATCTAATATTAGAGGAGCAAAACATTAAATAAAACCTGAATTTGTCAGAAATTGTATGAAAAAGCAATATTTTTTCAGCAATAAGGTTGTTAATGGAGGGAATAGTCTACCAGCAGAAGTTGTTTTATCTATAACAGTTAACAGCTTCATATCTAACTTGGAATCTGTCAATTTAAAAGCAA